TTGTATGATCTGATCATTACTTAAATTTTTAATTCATTTTTTTCAACAGATACTTAAATGTTTACTGTGCGTAGGAGCAAAGGATACTGCAAGTATAAGCAAACTTCTTCATAGATCTTGAGCTTTATCTCTTATCATTTGCTGCCTCCTTCACAATATTGCAGGCAAACTGGGAAAACTCTATGCTTTCAACAAATAAAACTTGTTTTGTTGTCTTAGGGCTTTTATACTTACTGTTTTCTTCTAGAATGCTCCATGTCCAGACTCCATGATGGGCTCCCCCTTGTGACTCACATGTCTGTTTAAACATCACTTCCCCAATGAGGTCAACCTTAATTACCCAAACAAAATTAGGTTCCTTCCACCCACATCCACTCAAGTCCATTATCACACCATTTCATTTCTTCCTAACTCTTACCACTCTCTGAAATTTTCTATTTATTGGCTTCTTACCAATATCCTCTTACTATGATGTAAGTTCCCCAGTAGAAGGGACCATGTGTCTGTTTACTCTACCCATACTGGCACACACAACAACTTTGGCATGTAGTTGGTATCCCATAGATATTTGGCAAATAAGTTAGATCTATACATTCTTTGTTCCCTTGTCATAAGCAGCACAGCTGGGCATATAGACAAGTTAATAGGCGATTACAATAGACGGTGCTGCCTTATTTCTGTTACCCTACAACATAAATCTTCATTTCAAAATTATTTAATCAACTTACTTTTCCTTGAGCTTATTTCATCTTTGTGCAGCTATTTGCCCTACAGGGCTCTCCTGTCTCCTCTCTGTTTACCTAAATCCTACCCTTCTTTCAAGATATAACCAAAGTGTGATCTTCTATGCAAAGATGAAAAGATAAAAGCCTTTCCTGTCATTTCAGACCCCATCCATCTCTCTCTCCCTCCTACTGTTCTTACTGCTCACCTTTTGCTTAGTCAAAGCTGCACTGAATAGCTATTGACTTAAGCAGATGTACGTACTTCATATTCACAAGCATACTGAAAATTTCTCAAGGATCTGACCATTGTCTTTTACTTTTATCCCCATGCTTTGTATTTCCACTTTGTGGACAAAGTACTTTCATACAGAGTTGAATTGTTGACTACTTATATAGCTTTTAGAGGAACTCATTCTACCTTTTCCATTCACAGGTTTGAGCTTTCTGGAAATGAAAGAGAAAATATGAATTGTGCTTATTTTTATGATGGGAAAATTTACCCTACCTTCTGTAAGAACAAGCATCATTTGATGTGTGAGAGGAACGCAGGCATGGTGAATGTGGACACACTACTTTAATGCAAAGAGATGGGCGAGATGTCACAGACAAGTTCTTGATTATACAATGAAAGATCTGGGTGGACTCACTAGCCATAAAATTGCTTATTTTTCCCTTTATTCCCCTTAGAGTCATCTTTATATTATCTTTTCTACCAATACCACCTCATCTTTTCTTTATATATCCCCTTTTACTAAGGGATGATTTCATCCCTTCTTTATATATCCAGAATTCTGTCTGTGAGTTGATCATTTGTTCTCAATTCTTCTGTTTCCATGGACTTTCTTCGTGATTTCCATTCCTAATTATCTCAACATGGTATGATTCACCACATCTTTAGACATAAACATATACACTTTAAATTGAAATAGGAAAGGCTAGGACTTAAGTTGTGCAAAATATCTAAGTCTGAAAGACAGCATAAAGCAGTGGAAAGAATACTAAACTTGGAATCAGTAGAACAATCTAGATGGTGTGATTACTTAAAGTACAACCATGGGCCAACTAGTCATGTAGCCTCTTTACTATGCATTTTCTCATATTTCAAATAGTATAACACCTATGACTTCACAGTTGTACAACTTAATAAAACACTAGCTATGTCAGAAATTCCATAAAGGCCAACACCGTGACTTTCCCATTTGTCGTTGTATGTGAAGCACCAAGCACAATTCTGGCTCACTGGAAACAGGAAAATAGTTGTTTCTCATTATGTGAGAAGCACACAATCTGTAAAACACTAACAATTATAATTTGGATTCCAGGTCCACCTTTGGTCAGATTCAACAGCAAGGAAATTATAAAGTTTCATTCTGTGCAAGGAAAATAAAATTTCTGTGCAAGGAAATTGATAGTGTTTGACTTCTTAACAAGGCCTTTAGGCAAGTAGACAAAACAGCAAGTACAAATGCTTTATCTTTTCCTGACAGTTCTATGCTTGGTTTTTGCTGAGTAACTCATGAAGTATTTATAGATATGTGGGGAGGCACACTTTCACAGGATAATAGGCAAACATTGCCCTTCTTTCCCATAGCTTCCCTGAGGCTCTTTCTTCTCACATCAGTAGTAATAAAATTCATGAATATGAGTCTCAAACATCTCAACTGAGATGTTTGTTAAAACATGTGGATGTTCGGGTGCCTGGGTGGCTCAGTGGGTTAAAGTCTCTGCCTTCAGCTCAGGCCACGATCCCAGAGTCCTGGGATCAAGCCCCACATCGGGCTCTCTGCTTGGCGGGGAGCCGGCTTCCCCCTCTGTCTCTCTGTCTGCATCTCTGTCTGACTTGTGATCTCTGTCTGTGAAATAAATAAATAAAATCTTAAAAAAACAAAAACAAAACAAAACATGTGGATGTTCAAACACAGATACTTAAGGTTCTCAGTTGGAAGGCTAAGGAGACACTGAGAACTGTGCTTTTAATAAGCTCTCTTACTTGATTCTGATACAAGTAGTTTTTAAATACATTTTGAAAAAATTACATTGACACTTACTCCTTATGTAGCTTTTGCTAAGTTACTCTGTTTCCTCATTTACGAAATGGGCTTAACATTACTATTTTACTCTTAGGTAATAGCAAGGATCATTTAATATAGTATATAAAGCACTGAGCAGAGTATCAAGCATGTAATAAACACTCAATAAATATGCATTATTTTATATGTTTGAGTACTAATACTCAAAGACACTTGAATCTTTATCTTATTTTAGACTATCAGTAAACAAGCAGATTTTGGGGGACTGAGGAAAAATAACACAGGTACCTCAGATTCTGCTTCTACTTCAAATGTCTTGAGATCTTGGGTTTTTGGGGATAGTGTCATTATTTTACTGTTTTTTACTTAATGATTTAGAGAAATGGAATAGGAATTAATAACTCAGAAATTCATCCAAAAAACAACCAACCATGTCTCTGGACTTTCATGTTTTATACCTACAAATGGAAAAACATATATTTATATATTACTATATGGCACAAGTAAATTTCAAAGAATAATGTCTTAGCTTGTGGCAAAAATCCAATTAAAATATGTTAACCAACCAACCAACTATGCCTACAAAGATTCTTTTTTCTGGTACTCATATCAAAGTCATCTTACACATGAAATCGGAATAGCACAGATTTTAATAGTACAGGCTCTGTGATCAGACAGCCTACTTTCAAATACTAACTCTTCCACTTACTACCCAAGTGAACTTCGGTAAATAATTTGACTTCTCTGTTCTTCAATGTACAATTAAGTTACAATGTACTCATAATAGTACTTACTTCACAGAGCTGATTTAAGAATCAAACTAATTCATGTAAAAGCCTTTTGAAACAGCACTTGGAATGTAATGAATAATAAGTAACAGGTGGTATGATCTAAAACATCAAAAGCAATAAAAGTAACATTAGTCCTTTATTGGGAGAGCCCAATGTTTCCCCCAAAGAAAATTATCAGAGAATATACTAAAGCAGAAAAAACTAGATCTTTCTGAGCTTGCTCTTTAGCGCTGATAAAATTTGAGAGCTCCTGGAAATTATTGACAACTCATTAAACTTCTGTTCCTGTGCTCCCGACATTAGTCTTAATGCATATTTGATATGTTCCTTCCTCCTTTTGTCCTCAAGGTAGAAATCATTATATAAAGAAGGCTACAGAAAGTTACATCACATTATTTTTCAGGTCAAAATCTCAGGCCATTTGAAATATTTGGAGACTTTGCTGGATATTCTCCATTTACATCTTAAGAGCCTCTCAGCCCCACTCTGTGCCTTGGGAGGCAGAACTCAAATGAACAGCACTATCTGGAGCAACTTTCCTCTGGCTTCCAGTAAATTTACTTATTGAGAAGTACTTGCAATAATCAAAGGGTGAAAGCAGAGAGTGGTCAGGGTACTACTCATTCCCTTGGCTCTCTCCTTACCATGCCATGTTTGGCAAAGACTGCATGTTCTGTATTTGAGGTCATGGCCCCTATCAGATACCCTCCCCTTAACTCCTCGGGCCTAGGGGTAATAACATCCTTATGAATAATGCATAAGTCACCTCTTCTTTCTGTTCCCATTAGTCTTTCTCTAAACTTTACAAACAGTGTCTTGATTCAATGCCCTGAGATTACTCCTTGAGTATGTCATTTGTTTTCCTTTGTTATACACATCAACGATTGATCTAGCAAGATACTGAAACAAAAGAGAACATTGTAATTTTGCAGATTGTTGAGATTTGCGAACTATAAATTACCAATACATGACCTTTGGCCATCAGGACAAATGGCCAATACGTGAATGATAATTAAAATATCAAGTTTCTTAATGCTGTAGTCACAGGATGTGGCAGAAGTGGCCATCTATCCACTAAATAATTCATGCTTCTCATTTAGAGTACAGTTGTCATCAAAAGTTTGCTAGCCAGGGAAAAATTACATTTATCAGGCCCAGCCTTTTACATCCAAACACGGGCATTATGTTCGTGGATGTAGAACCCAGAGGCCATTTCCAGTTCAGTTTCTTTTCTCATTTCCTTCTTTAACAAGTTGTACTTTGGCCTAAACTTCATAAACTTTTACTTTCTAGATGAAGATGCACCTATTGTATCCCTTAAACCCAAACATAGTTTCCCACTGATGTGAGAAGTAGCCAATTTCAGTTCTTTCATGAGCCTGCTTCTACCACAAGAAGAGTTGTTTGTCTTAGCTTCTTGTGTGGCCTGCCTTACCTATCGCAGCATTTCAGACATGCAGGAGGAGGACACATATGCCTCTCTTCAGTGGGATCCCCCAACACCAAGTCCTTACCAGAAACATCTGTCTTCTGTCAAATATTCAGGTAACCATCTGATTATTTAGTCCAAGACTTTGAAGTTTCTGCTTTGTTTCCTGTTCTGTGATGAGCCCAAGGTGATTTTTCTAAGATAACCCACATGTGCTTCTGATAATGTGCATTATATAATAGCATTAAAAAGTGAGGTGATGTGGAAGAGTAAGTAAAGGTGCAAAAGGAAAAGAACAATGGATTTGACAAATACATAGTACCTTTTTCCCTCTCTCCTGCTGGAAAGACAAAGAATTCCGGGATTTGGAAGATAAATGAAAGAAATCCTATATATTTTTATTTTTTATTATTTTAGGTCCTGCATAAAATGCCCTGAAAATTATCTGACAAAAACTAGGAAATAAAGAGAAAACACAGGTTGAAAAACTGACAAAACTTAGCAACCTGGAGCTGTGTGCTATGGTGATCAGTTCTGCTGTTCTTCTTTAAGCTTTCTATTAGCTTCTTGTTATTTTGATAATAAATTATCACAGACCAAGGGGATTAATACACTATAAGTTTATTATCTTATAGTTCTAAAGATCAGAAGTCCAAAATAGGTCTCACTGGGCAAGGTGTTGTCAGGGTGCCTTCCTTCAAGAGGATCTAGCCAGGGGAGAATCCATTTGTTCTAGAGCTGCATTTCTTGCTTCACTTGGCTCATGGCCCCTTTCTCCATCTTCAAAGCCAGCAACACTATGCCTTCAAGTTTCTTTCTGCTTCCTTCATCAGATAGCACCCTGACCACTGACCTCTCGCTTATAAAGGCTCAGATAAAACAGGATAATGTCGCCATCCCAAGATCCGTAACTTAATTACAATTTAAAGTCTCTTTTGTCATATGAGGTAATATTTACAGGTTCCAGGGAGTAGGACGTGGGCATCTGGGACAGGAGCATCATTCAGCCTACCACATAATCCAAAGATAACTTTTATCTGATTTTTTCTCTGATTAGTGTTAACAATATAACAAGTCACACATTCTTTATTTTTCTTTCCTGAAGAGATGCAAAATTACCTGGGGTGGGGGAGGTATTCCTCATTCAAAATTGTATGTTTAAAAGAAATAGCTCTGAATCAATCGTGTTCAAGGGGTGCAGAAAAGAGATGAGGAGATGCACCACAGTGTTTCTGCTTTCAAAAACGAAAGCCTGCATTCTGGTTTGCTATAGTCTCTAAAAGATCGTTGGAATATGTAACTAGTTGGTAAGGTTAAGACCTCATGAAAGGATGAGAGGAGTAAATTACTTAACCTATTGGATTTGACATCTTTCAACATCCAGGCTGTTCTGGGGTCCTTGGGTGGTTCAGTCAGTTAAGCATCTGCCTTCACCTCAGGTCATGATCCCATGATCAAGCCCCACAGTCAGTAGGGCTCTCTGCTCAGCAGAGAGTCTGCTTCCCCCTCTGTGCCTTTCCCTCCCCCTGCTTGTGCACTTGCACTCTCCCAAATAAATAAATAAAATCTTTAAAAATATATATATATTCCAAGTTATAACTTGCATTTCAAAAAGTTGGAATTCTTTTCTCCTATTACCACAGTTCCCATGGCGTCAAGGATTCTCTAGTAAGAATGCTCATTCTTTCACTGAGCCTAGTTTCACACGGGCCCATCTCTTTCATCTTCTTTAACTCCGTGTCATTGCCCTTTTGCTTTGTTCAGGAGCATGGTGTCTGGTGGTGGTGATCTCATGTATTCTCTGCGTGGGCTCAGTAACAACCTCTGTTTTCTTGGGGATCAAGTGTAAGTACAAAAGCATATCTTCAAAATAATCTATATACATGTATTTCATATACTTTATACACAATTATACATTACAAAGAAGAAGTCACTTAAAAAAGGGGTCAGGAGAAGGGGATAGATGGTGACAATGTCAATGCTTATTTTTTGTTGGGTTTTGTTTTGCTTTGTTTTGTTTTTTTGATGTTGCCATTCCATGGATGTAGTACTTATTAAACAATTTTTTAACTCCCAAAACAAAAATTGGGTGAAGAAAATATTTTGATAAGGATAAAGGAAAGCTAGCCAGAAAGTAAAGTATTTAAAATTTTTAGTAATTTCTGGAAATTGTCTACTAGTAAAAGTTTTGGCTTTCTTTTGTTTTGTGTTAATAGTTATAAATACTTCTAAAACATTTAAATATTATTACATAAATGTAAAATATTTTTACCATTGGCTTTTGTTCAAGTATAGTGACTATACTATTGCTACCAAGCCAGTCATTTGCCAGAGTCATCTCACACATTCTCAAAAACATTCTTAGGGCTTTTATTATATAAAGTTAGTTACAGAAACAAGAGTTGTGTTAAACAAGAAGCAGCTGGTTCACTTCAAATTTCCTAACCAACTGCTTATCCTTGCTAGTTATAGATTATGTTACAGACAGTAGATTTTGAGTTATAAATATCATGTTTAATTTTTAATAATTGTATCATCTTAATGATCATTCCATTTCAACAAAATGGAATGTTAAATGTTTTCTCCACAAAAATTTTCAATGTAAGAGAAAGGTAAATACTAATATTTAAATTATATATATAGGGGTGCCTGGGTGGCTTGGTGGGTTAAAGCCTCTGCTTTCGGCTCAGGTCATGATCTCAGGATCCTGGGATCGAGCCCCACATCGGGCTCTCTGCTGAGCAGGGAGCCTGTTTCCTCCTCTCTCTCTCTCTGCCTGCCTCTCTGCCTGCTTGTGATTTCTCTCTCTGTGTGTCAAATAAATAAAATCTTAAAAAAAAATTAAAAAAAAATTATATATATATAACCACATATGATGTATATAATCTAATATACATAGTAAAAAAAAGGACATGTTTCTGACAAAGAGTAAAGAATGAAATCTATATCCTGTTTAAAGTACCTTGATATCAAAGTAATGAATGGGTTAATTTACAAAATTAGTCTTATATACTATTAAAAGTGCATCCATAGATATCTGACAATAAAATAACTGATAAAAATCAATGATGCTACATTGATATAAAAGAATACACTGCAGTAATTTAAAGAAGTCTTCTAGAACTATTGTTACTAACATGGAGTTATGGTTATGCAATATTTTACCATGAAATAAGCAGATTAAAAAGTCAATTATGGAAAAATATAGTTTTATAAAATTGTATGTAAAATAGATTTTTTTTACATACAAATATGGAAAAAAGTTTCAATAGATATAAACTAAAGTTAACAACTGTTATTTGAATGGTAGTTTTAAATGTAAGAAGTAATTTCTTGCTTTCTTTCTACTATTTTGTTTTTTTTTCCTACCATATGACCTATACTAATTACATTCTATTTAAAAAAATCTATAGTGAAAAATAATTTCTATAAAATCAGATTTTTCCAATTGTTTTTACTAGTCTTTTTTGTTTTCCTTCTTTTTTTTTTAAGATTTATTTATTTATATGACAGAGAGATCAAAGGAGGCAGAGAGGCAGGCAGAGGGAGAGGGGGAAGCAGACCCCTTGCTGAGCAGAAAGCCTGATGTGTGGCTAGACCCAGGACCCTGAGATCATGACCTGAGCCGAAGGCAGAGGCTTTAACCCACTGAGCCACCCAGGCGCCCCTCTTTTTCATTTTCTTAATCCAACAATTAGATGTATCATATAACATCATATAATAAGTGATTTTATTTGGGGGGCTTTAAAAACATTTGTCTTACAATCCCCTAAGTAAATGTATTGTTTAATCTATATTCCTAACTTGTTACAAATTTATTACAAGCCCAACACCAGTAAAGGTGCATTGCTTCCCATATAAGGGGAAACTAAAGAGAAGTATCATTTCCCTTTCTCCAGTTTTATTACAGTTTTATGTAGTACAACCTTTTCAGATAGTAATAAACAAAACAACAACAACCTCAAGAATATAGTTGATCTAGAAAAAGTTCATCAAAATTCAATATTTTAGAATAATACTTGAAATTCCTAAAAGGAAATCTCCAAACATGCCAGATTATAAATAGAATAAAATAAATAATATCAATCTCTTACTCCCCACTCTGGTTACATCCAACCTTTTGCTAAGAAGGAACATAACCCAACCCACTAGCAGCTGGGATTACTTGAACCATTCCACAAATGGATAAGACATAGCTCCTGAGCAAAATATAGAAAAGAGGGAGAGAGTCCTAGAGCATATTGAAAAGATTAGTATAAGTGTAATAGTAGACCTCAAAGTAGAAGACAGAGTTAGAAAAAAGTAGTATTATTTTAAGGCTTGCTGGATGAGTTGGGTTAAGGACATTGGGGAGGGTATGTGCTATGGTAAGTGCTATGAAATGTGTAGGCCTGATAATTCACAGACCTGTACGTCTGGGGCAAATAATACATTATATGTTAATAAAAATAATTAAATTAAAAAGAAATAAAAGCAAGATATTTATATGAAAAAAAAGATTGACTGGATGAATATTTTCCAAAATTGATTGAAAACATTAAGTTATAGGTTCAAAGAAAATCAATATCCATATTAAGAAAAATATTTAATAGAATAGGAATAAATACTGTATAAAATTATTTTTAAGAAGAACTGACTTGGGGGTGCCTGGGTGGCTCAGTGGGTTAAAGCCTCTGCTTTTGGCTCAAATCATGATCCCAGGGTCCTGGGATCGAGCCCCGCATTGAGCCCCACATCGGGCTGTCTGCTCGGCGGGGAGCCTGCTTCCCTTCCTCTCTCTCTGCCTGCCTGTCTGCCTACTTGTGATCTCTGTCTGTCAAATAAATAAATAAAATCTTTAAAAGTAAATAAATAAATAAATAAAAATAACTGACTTGGGGCATTTGGATGATTTAGTTGGTTAAGTATCTGCCTTCCACTCAGGTAATGACCCTGGGGTCCTGGGATGGAGCCCTGCATCGGGCTCCCTGCTCAGTATGGAGCCTGCTTCTCCCTCTCCCCCTACCTGTACTCTCTCTCTCTGTCAAATAAATTAAATTTTTAAAAATATTTTAAAAAAAGAACTGACTTAAAAACCTTGTTAGACTTATAAGGAAAGAACTCTAAAAACTATAAAAATAATATGAAAATGGGAGGCCTGGCCTTACCAAATATTGAAATAAATTGTAAGTCTAAAATAATGAAGACTATGTGGTACTGACCTAGGAATAGATAAGCAGGTGGATTGAATATCATGAACACAATAGAAATATATCAAACTAGTTTATTGGAAATTAGAGTAAGCTAAAGATGGCAATTAAAAGAGAATGAGAAAGGGGTTATTCAGTATATGATTTGAGACCACAATGTCGCCATCTGGGGGAAAAACTTGGAAGTCATACCTCATAAATTCCAACAAAATAAATTTCAGCTACATCAAAATATGGAAGTGAACTATACTTGTAAAAAGTATAATCTCAGGTGTAAGACTTTTGCTCAAAATGACCCAAAAATCATCTGATGTATGTGGGATAAACTACCACAAACAAAGTCAAAAGACATACTGGGAAATTCATGGCTCATATCATGTATTAGCTATTCTTACCCATTAAATGTAAGTGCACTAACACATCAGTTAAACTAAACAAGATTGGTTGCTAAAGAAGATTCCCAGAACCTGAAATGACAATGCTTACAAATTTATAGTTTATTACAAGAAAAAGATGCTGTTTAAGAACCACATTAAAGTAAGGGTATAGTCTGGGGAGTCCAGACAATGCTTACAAATTTATAGTTTATTATAAGAAAAAGATGCTGTTTAAGAACCGCATTAAAGTAAGGGTATAGTCTGGGGAGTCCAGGTACAGAGAAGTACTTTGTCCTCCCTCTGTGACTATTTTCTCAGGACACAATTTCTCTCGAGTCAGGAACCACTGATGTGTATGTGCGCTAAACACTCTGGTAGCAGAGAGCCCAACATGGAGTCTTGCTTGGTAGTTTTTATATTATGCTGACCACATCAGCATATTTCTTTCTTTCTTCTTCTTTTTTTTTTTTTAAGATTTTATTTACGTGTTTATTTATCAGAGAGAGAAAAAGAGAGAGCATAAGCAGAGGGGAATGGCAGGCAGGCAGGCAGAGGGAGAGTCAGGCTCCCTGCTGAGCAAGGAGCCCAATGTGGGACTTGATTCCAGGATGCTGGGATTGTGACCTGAGCCCAAGGCAGATGCTTAACCTACTGACCCACCCAGGTGTCCCCACACAGGCATATTTCTTCCAGGTATCCAGCTTCGATAGAAGAGCCTGCTCAGGATCTCATTGTAAGAGGGGCGAATCATCAGTCACGCGGCATCAGCAAACAATGCTGACAAGCTAGTATCATCTGACCAAAAAGTCCTCAGACTGATGATTATAAAGCTACACTATTCATCAGTATACCTCACACCTTGTCCAGAGGTCAGTGCCAGGCAGGAACTTTAGAAAACTAACAGGCAGGAGCTTAGAAACACTATGCAGGCTGATCCCAGTCCTGCTCCAATGAATTCTCATAGCACAATATCTTTATTGTATAAAACAATAACAAAAAGACTAGAAACACAATGAAAAAAATTATGTAATTACATATAATTATACAGTTTATAGAAAAGGAAATGCAACTAACATTTTTACGTATGAGAAAAAGTTTCAACACCAAGCATAAAAAGGGAAATGCAAATTCAAATAATATTGAAAAACCATTTGCAGCAACTTACGTGGAGGGTAATTTGGAAATATCTAATACAATTTAAATGCAAATAAACTTTGACCTAGCAACTTTTCTTAAAAATATACTTACATATGTGTGAAATTATGTGTGACTAAGGTTCTTTATTATAGTATTTATTTTTGGAACACCAAAGGATTATAAGTAGTCTAACAGTCAGTAGGGGGGCACATGGGTGGCTCAGTGGGTTAAGCCTCTGCCTTTGGCTCTGGTCATGGTCTCAGGGTCCTGGGATGGAGCTTCATGTCGGGCTCTCCGCTCAGCGGGGAGCCTGCTTTCCCCCCTCTCTCTGCCTGCCTCTCTGCCTACTTGTGATCTCTGTCAAATAAATAAAATCTTAAAAAAAAAGAGTCAGTAGGGAATAACTAACATAAGTCAATTGAATCTGCTAAAGTTAGAATGAAAGATTGAGAAAGCTCTTTATACAGTGAGATGGAATTATGTCCAAAATATATTTTAAGTGGTAAAATATGAAATATGAAAATGTGAAAAACCATATACATAGATCGTTACTGTTTGTATAAAGAGGGGGCATTTTATATTCATTTACTTGTAAAATTCAGAATATGTGTGGAAGAATTAAAAAGAAATGGGTAAATTGACTGTGCTGGGGGAGAGGAGTTGGGTGCATCTGGAAGGCAAAGGGGTTTTTTGCTCTGTATCCTTTGAAGTTTTTTATTCTTTTTTTAAATTAAAAAAAAATTTAAGATTTTACTTATTTATTTGAGAGAGAGCACAAGCAGGGAAGAGGGACAGAGGGAAAAGGAGAAGCAGGCCCCCTGGCAGCGGCTAGATCCCAGGTCCCCAGGATCAAAACTTGAGCTGAAGGTAGAGGCTTAACTGACGGAGCCACCTAGACACCCCAAAGTTTTGATGCTTGAACAGTGTAAATTTTAAACAAAACCTTAATGCAAATTGAAGTCACAAAAATAATAATTTCTAGTTGTCCTTAGTCTGTATAGAAGAATTACTTTGTTCTAATTTGTCAGTATTTTTAATTGAGAATTATTGTCATTTATCGTTTGAAGTGTTCCAGGTGTCCACTATTGCAATGAAGCAGCAAGAAAAACTCATCCATCAGGATAGAGAACTGTCGAACTTCACACAATGGAAGAGAAACCATAACCTTCAGATGAAATGTTGCCAAACCTTGAGGCAAAAGTCTTTCAGTTCAGGTAATTGATATAAAATCAGCTTTCAAAATAAAATAAAATAAAATAAAATCAGCTTTTGCTGTGCAGATACAAATGCAGGCACCAATTCCTCAAAAGAAACAGGGCGCACATTTTATTGTCTGTAAAATTGCAGACAGAATTTTAAAATTAGGAGGGACGTAATTTTGATCCACACTCCAGTTCAATTTTTTAAAATATATATTTACATATTTCATTAGTATGTGGAAAATACTGAGGTCTCAAGAAATGCAGATTTAGAATCATACAAATTTCAAAGGGAAATGTGTAGGATTAGCAGATTGGGGTTTTTTTTTTTAAACATTTTATTTATTTAGTTAATAGAGACAGCGAGAGAGGGAATGAGAGAGGGAACACAAGCAGGTGGCTTGATTCTAGGACCCTGGGGATCATGACCAGAGCCAAAGGCAGATGCTTAAAGACTGAGCCACCCAGGCACCCCTGGATTTTTTTTTTTAAGCAGCATTTTATGTTTTATGCAATCACTCAAAGTTTTAAGTATATTTTTAATTGTAGTTCTAAATTCTTCAATATGCTTAGTTTAAACACTGCTTTAGATTCAAATTTAGATATCTCTTTGAGAAGAAGAATCATTTTTTTAAAAATCAGAGTATTTACCGTAACATTATAACAGTGCAGGGTTCAACTGTTTTTTAAAAATTCTATAAAGTTACTTCAGTTTTTATCTTTTATATCTCTTACTAGAATCTTAAACCTAAAACAGCCTTATTTCTATGTGTGGTATAGTTTGTCATGTATTCTGTGGTGACTTAATTGACATTAATTATCCCTATAGTGGATATCATTTAAATTATCACCAATTAGAGAGCTCAAAAAACCACCTCCTGGCTGAAATTTAGTCAAATAAATGTTTACAGAATCACTGGGTGCCCAACAGTGTTTTTAAATAGAACAGGCTTAGGCAAGCATGAATTAGCCCTTCCTCTGAGCCATTAACCTTAAGACAATGGTAATAACCATTGTGGAGAACTACAAATCTAATATGTCTTCCAACATTTCAGCTGCTTTTTTCAACACCAGTCTTGCTGTAACACTAGTCAAGACACTGATTAGCATAGATTCCAAACAAAGGATACTGAGAAGCTTTAAATAACTCAACTTTTGGACCCTGGACACTGATAACAAACTATTTGTGACCTTAAGTAGAAGGCCTTTCTGTCGAAACTAGAGTTCTGGAAATTTCAGTGTCTTTCCCTCTGTGCAAGAAACACTTGGTCAAGTTCTTGCTTTTTGGTGCCCCTTTTATAGTCTTGAGCACAATTCTTTTGTGAATATATTCTTTCTTAAGACAGCCTTCATAAAACTGATTAAACCACATGGCTTACTTCTAAGTTACATCCAAGTCCTGAAAAAGCTTATTGGTCTCTTATGATTTTCTTCAATTTTCCTCACCCACATATTTTCAAATCAGTCTTCAAAGTACACTGTTTGTCCTGTCCTTTCTATTGGAAACATTTTCATGTTTAACTCTCAGAATTTACACATCAACTTGAAACTTATTATCAGCTTGCCTAGTGGTCCAGTATATATTCCAACTAAATTGGGCCAGTAAGAGTAACAGGCATGAAACAATAAACAAATAATGAAGACTATACATAACATAAGCTTAAAGAGGGGAAAGATTTATAAAAATAGAATAATCAGCTCAATTGTATAGAAGAGGAGCCATTTGGGATAAGATATTCTGAAATTAATTTTATCTTAAGCTAATTCTTACAGGCCTGTTGCAGTTGGAAATATATAAATCTTTCCATGGTAAGACCAACTTATCTGACCCATTTGGTTACAATGTTCAGCTTCACTTGGGGGTGAGACAAAGATTTCCTTTGAGGATATGCGCTACTAATATTTTTATAATAACTTTAATAAAGTAAAATGTTTCTATTCAAAGCCCATAACTGCAACCCTTGTCCAAACAACTGGATTCAGAATGGAGGAAGTTGTTACCGTGTCTTTGAAAACTGGAAATTTTGGCACACCAGTAAAGAGGACTGTTTGAAGGAGGGTTCTAATCTTCTACAAATAGACAGCAAAGAAGAAATGGTAAGCACCCTCTTATGGTTTCATATCATTCTGAAAATACCCTGATACACATTAAAAGAAAGGGCTGATTCTAATTAGACAGGATTTCTTAATATTCTGTAACAAAACTATATTTAATATATATAATAAGGGTTTAAAAGAGACAAAGTAGGAATTACCGAGGTTTGTTTTCCTTTTCATTGGACAAACAAACATACAGGAAGTTATCCAGATTAAGGGAAATATATTAGTTGTATGTCCCTTTTTAATGAAAAAGGAGAGGGGGTAAGGAGAATACCATTTTGTTGCTTGTTAATCCACTCTAAGATATATATATATATTATAATTTTGTATATGTTTCAAATTTGTTATTTTCAGTGCTGTAGGAAAGGGTAACAACCATTAAATTTTGTTATTAAAAGAAAAGCAGAAGTATAGAAAGGGAAGTGATGTCACGAAATGGTGAGGTCTATAAGAATAAGCACTAGGTAAACGAAATATTTAATTAACATTAAGTCTACTTTACTAACATCTTTTTTTTTTCTTTTTTTTTGACAGACAGAGATCACAAGTGGGCAGAGTGGCAGGCAGAGAGAGAGGAGGAAGCAGGCTCCCCGCTGAGCAGAGAGCCCGATATGGGGCTCGATCCCAGGACCCTGGGGCCATGACCTGAGCCGAAAGCAGAGGCTTTAACCCACTGAGCCACCCAGGCGCCCCTACTTTACTAACATCTTAACAAGCAAAAAGAGTTTTCCTGAAATCATTTTACCCCTAAATGTGTGTGAAATAGAATATACAGTTACACATTTCTGGCCCTATTAAAAATGTATGCTTGCTATACTCAATAATTAAAGTTCATTTCTCAAAAAATGATGACAGAACAATTCAATTAAGGGGGCGCCTGGGTGGCTCAGTGGGTTAAGCCTCTGCCTTCCACTCAGGTCATGATCTCAGGGTCCTGGGATCAAGCCTGGCATCGGGCTCTCTGCTCAGCAGGGAGCCTTCTTCCCCCTCTCTGCCTGCCTCTCTGCCTACTTGTGATCTCTGTCTGTCAAATAAATAAATAAAACTCTTTAAGGGTATGTTAAGGATATGCAGTTAACCAAGGCAACTTGGACTTACAACAATTATAGGTTTATACTATTTTTTCTGTGCAAATTTGGTGACAAAAGGCAATAATGTTTTTTCTAACAAAATACGCCTACAGGTAATTTGCCTCTGGAATATCTTAAACTATTTCTCATATTGAAGTATACTGGGAAAGAATGATCTATGTGGTCTATGATGTCAAGGATGTTTTCACTTTTCCTGTTAATGAGTTTCAGTATAACACCTTGTTTTGACATATATTATCTGCCAAACTCTGAATCTGTTAAGATTATTTTAATACCAGATGCCTATTTTCTGTATAGTCCTTAACACCACACCTATTAGATGGCAATTTTAAAAAGTCTATAAAAGGCATCACTTCTTTTAAAACCTTTTATCTTGGTCTCCACCTCTAAAGTTCCCATTTCTGTCTGTCTAGGAAAAATGCCACACTTTATATTTCATGATAGTTTGCTGTTGTTTTCCCCTCAGTTCACTGTTAGGTCTGTTTCTTCTAGGACTTTATCACTGACAGCCTGAGTAATGTCAAAAAAGGCTATGATTACTGGGTGGAGCTGTCTCATGATGGACTCAGCAGACCTTGGCTTTGGAAAGATGGCTCCCCTCCTTCACCTTCCCTGTAAGTGTCTGAGAGAAATATTATAAGAAAAAGAAGAAACATGAGGGAATTCCAAATTTTATTTTATTTTATAACTCAGATTTTCTCCAGAAGACATAGTCAGCATGATAATTACACAGGCTTTTGATTGCAATCAAAACTGAGGCTTCCAAGTCTTCCTACTCCTTGGCCATGCTGCCATTAAACTCCAGCACATTCACATCAAAACTTGAGAATCTGAATGAACAGTATAATTATCACAGATGTTTCCTGTGTATTATTTAATGACTAGTGAGTGGTCAGGGAAAGAAATTGTCATAAGTATTAAGACATTTCCTTATTAAGCTTTTTACTTTTATTTATTTATTTTTCCCTATTAAGCATCTTAGATAGAGCTAGGGAGATTAGTGAACAGAATTAGGTGCTTTCGTATTTTGAGAATTAAGTCAGTAGAGAGATCCCAAGTTAGAGCCTATTTTTGTGGATCTATTTCCTTTAATATGATGTTTTTTTTTAATATTATGTTAACATTTTTATTGAGTAAAAACATCTCTATTACTGAAGAAGGAGGGTGCCATAGGAGGGTACCATATTAAAACGAAACAAAAAGCTACCCACCTCTCATCATTACCCACAAGAACAACACTGTAAGCCCCCTACCTAATGTCAGATTCACTGACTTGCTTCTCCAGATCGCCAGTACAGACACTCCAATCAACTGGCCAGCTCTGTGGATATCTCAAGGACAAGTTCCTTTCTTCCACTAACTGCAGCAATTGGAAATATTTTATCTGTGAGAAGTATGCTTTAAGATCCTCTATCTGAAAGAAATTGTACCAGGAAAATCTATTATGATAGTTATGTTGAACAGGACATTGGAAAACCTGCCACAAAATTCCATAAAGCAGATGCAGAAGTGAACCTATGTGTGGGCTATGATACCACCTACCTGGGACTCAAAACCTATCTCTATACTTACACTTGGCAATTTTCTTCAATACTTTCCAGAACTTCAATTGACATTGTTTAAATTGCCAAGAATTAAACCGATTTATAGTTTCAGAGGACAAAATCCTGAAAGGTTGAGAACAAACTGAAGAAAAATAATTTCTTTGTGCTTGCTTTCTTTCTTTCTTTCTTTCTTTTTTTTTCCCTAGTCTAGAATGACTATAAACTCCACACAAAAACCTATAAGCCACTGGGAGACGGAAATGTATTTCTAGCTGACTGGTTTTTCTTTTTTCTTTTCTTTCTTTTCTTTTTTTTTTTTTGGATGTTGTTCTTTTATTTTAAAATAAATAAATAAATGTGGTCTTTTAAAGTCTCTACCTGCCAGATTTTCTATACATTTTCTGTTATCAATCTGGTAGGATGGTTGGACAGAGATATGGATTTTCAAATTAGAAGGAAGACAGGCAGCTATCTGCTGCTAGTAAGACAATACCTTTTTAGGACTGCAGAATTCTACTGGACACATGAACCACCAGCTCTTCATATAAGTGGAAGGAATAGTCAGGCTGCCAATACCCATGCATCTCCAGTAAAAGACAGCTGTGAACTCTCTTCCTCCCTCTCACTAACCATCCTCACCACTCACAAATCAAAGGGTTCAGGTTGGAACTCTCAAGGTTAACACTCTAGCACTTCTTTTCTTAGTTTTTAATTTTAATTCCAGCATAATTAACACACAGTGTGATATTAGTTTCAGGTGTACAATATAATGATTCAACAATTCCATACATTCCCCAGTGCTCATCACAAGTACCCTCCTTAATTTCCATCACCCATTTCACCCATTCCCCCTACCCACCTCCCCTCTGGTAACCATCAGTTTGTTCTCTGTAGTTAAGTGTGTTTCTCGGTTTGTTTCTCCTTTTGTTTTTTCCTTTGCTCGTTTGCTCATGAAGTTCCACATATGAGCTAGATCATATGGTGTTCGTCTTTCTCTGACTTGTTTCACTCAGCATTATATTCTTTAGTCCCATCTGTGTCATTGCAAATGGCAAGATTCCATTCTTTTTTATGGCTGAGTAATATTCCAATGTGTAGTGTGTAGTGTGTGTGTGTGTGTGTGTGTGCGCACACGCGCACGTGTATCACCTCTCCATCCATTTATCATTGATGGACACTTGGGCTGCCTCAATATCTTGGCTATAGTAAATAATGCTGCAGTAAATAGGGGTGCATGTAACCCTTTGAATTAATGTTTTTGTATTTTGGGGGTAAATATCTGGTAATGTGATTACTGGATTGCAGGATATTTCCATTTTTAAAGGTTCTGAGGAATGTCCATACTCTTTTCCATGGTGGCTGTGCCAGTGTGCATTCCCACCAACAACACGCAAGCGTTCTTTCTTCTCCACATCCTCACTAATGCTTGTTGTTTCTTGCTTCTTGTTTCTTGAGTTTTTTTTATTTTAGCCATTCTGACAGGTGTGAAGTGATATCTCATTGTGATTTGGTTTGCATTTCCCTGGTGATGAGTGATGTTGAACACCTTTTCATGTGTCTGTTGGCCATCTGGATGTCTTTTTTTGAGAAGTGACACTGCAACACTTGCAACTATATCTCTCTGTGTCTCAATTTCTTCATTGTAAAATAATAATAGAATTTATTTCAAAATATTGTTTGAAGATTAATGTATGAATATATGTTAATAGCTAATAGTGCCTTCTTAGCGTTTGATGCTATATCAGTGCTCACTTCTATTATCTGGAGTAAATCACCAGTCATCTCTAGGCATCTAGAAACTAGACCAGATAAAAATGACCCTTTTTCTTGCTCGTGTTACAGGAATATTGAGAAGGTAAAGCTTATATGTAAAATGTCAGCAACTGTCTAGACAGAATATCTGTTTTAAAGTTAATGAATCTCCTCAAATGAAGCCATAGACAATCTGTCTCTTAGGTCTGGAGGCTCCTTGGACATAGATTAGCTTTTCCCAAGAGACAGGAGATATGAAAGTATCTTATGATCCATAAGAAGAAAAATTCACTAGTTATTATTATATTACTTTTCTACCACTTAACATCCTTAGAATAACTTACTACATGGTAAATTCTCATTCAATACCTGCTAAATTCAACATAATTTTATTTAATCTTTCGATTCTTCACAAGGAGTAGTTGAACTACATTGGAGTCTCATCTTTCTTTTTGATAAAGAACACCACTAAAATAAAGTAAAATAAAACCCAACTCATGGAGATAGTGGAAATCATTTAAATGAACTTAGAAGTCTATTTTTAAAAGGTGACCTTTGAAGGATTAGGTCCTTTAAGGGTGGAAAGGGCATGTTTTCATGTTTTTATTTTTGTTTTAATTTACCCTTGACCTGGAGTTTAAATAGTGGGCCTTTCAGTAAAAGGGATTTTTCTAATTTTTTGCTGAACCTAGAGAAAGAAAATAGCATGGAAAACACAGTATAAGTTGAGTCCTGTGTTTGGTTTTCACAGCTGACAGCTGGCAGCTGAATATAATAACTTGGAATGAAGGAGAAACAGTAACAATTTTTAGTGGTAAAGACTGTTTGTCTTCTAGATTCTTCAGAGTATTGTCATGGAACTATGTTTAGAGAAAGGATAGGAAGCATTTAATAACTCTTTTAAGAAAAAGTACAATGAAGCAAAAGGCAAACATCCTTTGGCTGATGTCATCCCATTAATATGTGACGTAGTCTCTGCAGGTCAGAATCTTATCCACAGTGCAGCTGCCATAAACTCCTACAAATCTCCTCTGTGGCAATGAGTGGTAGATTTTTTTTTTTCCCCTGCAGGTTGCTTTTGGTCCAAAATATCAAGATCTTTTTCCAGCCACTGGTAAGACATTAGGCCTTAGCACTGGGATGACAAGTTTTAGTTCTTGGTCTCACCAATAATAAATTGGAAATTTTTGACCCATTTCACTGAGATCCAAGTTAGCTTTAAAAAGGGGGGAGAAGGGGGGCCTGGGTGGCTCAGTGGGTTAAGGCCTCTGGTCTCGGGGTCCTGGGATCGAGCCCCGCATCGGGCTCTCTGCTCAGCAGGGAGCCTGCTTCCCTCTCTCTCTCTGCCTGACTCTCTGCCTACCTGTGATCTCTCTGTCAAATAAATAAAATCTTAAAAAAAGGGTGGGGGGAAGGGGAAAGGAAACAGAAAACTCTGTCCTACCAATGTGAAGAAGCTTTTTTTATACGCTACGGTTAAACTGCACTAAGTGTGTAAAAAAGAAAAACATTAGAAAAGTGATATTGATAGAATAATAATATTATTAGATCCTAAAAATCTGTACATCCTATGGACCTTGTAAAACAGTTACATACACCTTAAATCAGATTATGATGTTTTCCATATTCTTCAAAAATGAGAGAATCCCTTTACAAAGTATTTGACTTTCCAAATATTAAGGCCAAAACTGAGGCAATCTACTAGACTCTTCTACCTTTTTCAAAATCGCTTCTGTCCCCAAAGTAAGATCTCCCCTTATACTTCTCACACATCCTGCTATTGCAGGACTCATGACCTGTTTCCTGTTGATAAGTTTCAAGAGCTAGTTCTATATCCTCAGGAAAAGAAATAGCTCATTGTGTACCCTAGGGAACTCAGATCTACCAGGAAAGGCTATGTTCCTCATGTGACTTTTCCTGAAATTTCTTCGTAATTACCTAAACACACAAGAGCCTGGAAGAGAAAACTTCTTCTCCAGCCAAAAATTAATTCATGGGGCGCTACACTCTGATTCTCCATGGAAAAATGTTCTCAGCAAATCATGTCCTGATTATATCCTATTCCTAAATTTTAAAAAAGTTTGTGGAGAAAATGTTGTGCCATACGAGTCTTCTGTTCTTGGAGTATTTGCTCATACTGTGATTAGCGTTGTGAGTTTTGTTATACAGATGATGGGATTGAGGACAAAGATGGAGAAAAACAAGGTCAAGAATAGCAAAAACATCAAACAAATTCTATTTTTTCCCCTTGTCATCCAACCTGCCCTAGACTGCACTTATATAGGACGCCAGGGGTCAACACAATGTGTGTCAGGTCCCTATTTACAACTTAGTCCACAAAGTCATTTGACTTTCCTCCGGTTAACCACATTTTCTTCCTGTTGTAACAAGACTTAAATTACATTTAACTGCTTAGCTGAAGTCCTCATCCACACTTCCTGTTACAACTTTATTATATTAACTTGCATCCATTAAATATCCATACTGATCATAGAAAATATTTGGTACTATCCACAGCCTTCCAATGTAAGTGCCTCTTTACAATTTACTAAAGAATACAGGTCTCTAAAAAAAGGGTTGTTTTTGCTTGTTTGTGTTCCCCTATTAAAAAAAAATTACTAAATCCTTTTTCTACATATTTTTAATATCCTTGACATTTTATATTGCAATTTGGATTATAAAACTAATTTCACATTTACTTCATTTCAGCTAACAACAGCACCATGAGAAAATTATAAACATTTACACTTTATACTTAATGAAATAAGCTTAGTGAAATAAAGTGATTCACCCAATAACAGATCAAAACACGAGATTTAAAACTCTAATTTTATGACCACAAAGACAGTCTTTCTGCATGACACAATGAATCAACACAAAATCTGTTCAACACTGAAGAAATTTCATAATCAACAGAAAACCAAAAGGAAAATTCATAAGGAAGAAATGCGCAAGTAGTGATTGCTAAGTAACACAGTCTTATGAAAATGAATACAGAAATGTTCTTATCATATGTTTGCTAATTTAATGTCATTTCACCATGTGATAGGTGTTTACTGAAAATAAAACTGAAGCACCCTAGTTTTCATTGCTGAAAAATAAAGATTTATACTAGATGATCCTCACTAGCATTAAACCCCTAAAACTCATTTATCTGTAAATCAACAAAGTCACTGGATGTGATGGTCTTATTTGCAGTAATCCCTGTTAAGATTGTGCATATTGGCATCCTGAGCAAGGGGGCACAACACAAGAAACCAATGATGTGTGCAGATGTCACAGTCTCTCTTCCACTTTCCATGACCTTATTGGATAATTCACCCTACTGAGATTTTATTTACTCATTTTTAGCTATGTGTTGATGGCAAACTAGCCTCAAAGGATTTCATCTAAGGAAACTGTTAAAATCATCTTCTTGAAGACAGCAAGTCTTTCTCAAAGATTTATCTTCCTCAAATAATCAATACTGTTGTAGAATCCCTACAAATTCTCCATAAGGCACAAACAACCAAAACACAGATTCCTATCATTTTTGAAAAGCATCTCCACACTGAAATTGTCCCCAAATCACAAATCTATTCTCCAATCACACACATTTCACATTATTTACATTTATTATTATTAAATATCCAGTACCTCAAAGGCATAAACACGGATCAAATGGAAAAAAAATAGGAGCTGAAACCAAACTATTATAGACCCACATAAAGAGACTGATTTTTGCTCTGGTCTTCAATCTTTCTGAAGGAAACATCAGGGACAGTAATTTGGATATGGAACTGAGCTGAAGATATTTTTTTCCTGGAAGAATTTCCTAGGGAAAGGACAAAATCATTGGAGTACTTTTTTTTTTTTTTTTTTTTTTTGAGCAAGAGGTCATGAGTGGGGAGGGGCAGAGAGAGAGGGAGAGGAGAGAAAAAAAATCTTAAGCAAGTTCCACTCAGCAAAGAGCCTGATACAGGGTTTGATTCCAGAACCCTCAGGTCATGACCTGAAACTGAAATCAAGAATCGATGCCTAACTGACTGATCCACCCAGGTGCCCCAGCTGTTGGATTCTTCAATGGATATGGGGAGATAAGTTTGGAAGAAGTTAAGATTCTAATAAAGAGAATTATCCCAGTAGGAAGCAGGTCATAGACATGGCAGATAGGGGCTTTATTGAGAGACTGGAAGGGAAAAGTATGGTGGGAAACAAACAGAAAGAATTAATTATGTATTTAGAAGCATGGTATAGAAAATGATTGTTAATTTCTTACAGACTATTTGACATTTGGGGCAAACAATGTTATGCACATTATTTCCCCTACTTCAATAAGTTTCTCACTTCTCCAAATATGAAGGAAGACATGGAAACAGGAAGATGATACTAGATATTGAGAAGGAAGAACACTAGAAAGTGATCTCTAAGTCAAGAAGGTGAATTACAATTTTGCGAGATTCTGGGACTGGTTGTTGGTACATGGGATTTCTTTGTGACTAAATACATGCATGAACCCAAGCTCAGAAGTTCTGGGGATCATGAAAATCCCTCTTGCACCAGTCAGAAAAATTGCCTCTCCTATTTTTTTTTCCATGTTCCAAAGTTTCAAATATCCTTTGCATTGACTTTGCTTGACTCAACCTTTTTGTTGAATTGTTGTATAAATATGGACCACATGGGAGAAAATAGGAACTGAAACCAGACTCTTAGAGCTGCACATAAACAGACTGACTTCTGTTCTGATCTTCAGTCTCCTTGAAGGGACCATGATGTTGCAATTATGGTGGGAGAATCCATGGCTCAGGGAAGCTAATGGAAGCTCTCGGGCTTCACTGTGGCTGCCCTTCTTTCACATGCACACCGCCTCAACTCTTTGCAGTCCTTTGAGAAAGCCTTTCCATTGAGGATGGTCACACAGTCTCTGCTTCTTAGGCTGGTAAAATCTACTATAATCTCAAACCTTAAAGAGAAAAAAAAAAAGGTTTCACTGAATCATAGTTTACTTCTAAAATGAAATGTTAAATACCCTGAAAGTACATAGGGAGTACTCCTAATGTGATAAAATTAGAGACTAGATACACGGAATGAATTTACTGGAGAGATGGGGTTACCAAGCTCTTTCTTTTCAGCCCCTTGATTTCCATACTTGTTCCTAGAAGCATCAGTTCATCTAAAACAAAAAACCGTTTGTAACTAAAACTAAGATGCATACTATAATCCAAATTTGTCATATTTTGCCATCATCTGAAAAATCAGCTACTTTCTCGGTGACTCCATTTAATTAACTATAAAATAAGAATGATTACATTGAATATGTCTTATCTATTGGGAGAATAAATCCCATATGATATATATAGAGAGAAGAAAGATGTCTGTCCAAACATGGCTTCAAATTGTAATATATTTTACAACAGATATTATATTGACCTATTTCAGAAAGATATCATGCACAATCTCATCTAAATACTCACATAAGTAAAACCAATTTTTGGATAATTTTGCTCCTTATAGCCTCAGTAAATCTATTCTCAAGACTGTATTTTTAAAAATTTTATTTATTCATTTATTTGAGAGAGAAAGAGAGAGAGCATAAGTGGGGGTGGGAAGCGGAAGGAGAGGGACAAGGAGACTCCACACTGAGTACAGGACCATTAGATCATAACCTGAGCCAAAACCAAGAGTCAGATGCTTAACTGACTGGACCACCCAGGTGCCCCTCAGAAACTGTACTTTTAAAAATGTGCTCCCTATTACGCTGCACAGAAAGCCAGGAATTCTGAGGTCTTATATTATCTCTGGGTATTGATAAGTTGTGAAGTTGTGTGGTCTTACCAAGTTATCATCTTAACCTGGGTTTCAGCTTATTCATACATAAAATCTCTCTTCCCCTCTTCCTCTTCCTCCTCCTCTTCCTTCTTTTCTCTCTCTGTGTCTCTGTCTCTGTCTCCCCCACTCAGCAAATCCCAAATACTTAATAATGCTCCAAGATATATCAGAGGCTGAAATGAAAACTCTGAAAGCATCCAGATAGAGAACTGTCCTTACTATTTTACTAACATTTTGTATGTCTCCTTAACTGGTTTATAAATCAGTCAAAAGCAAGCACTATGCTTTATCATTATACATCCCTGTACATCCTCCTACAAACATAGTATCCAATACAAAGTGGAGGTTTGATTAATGCTTATTGAAGCAAGTTGCTGAACTCGGTCACTCAAGCTAAGTTCTCTACTAAATTCTTTTCCCACAAAATGTTCTGAAGTCTTACAGTTCGGGGGAGTAAAGGGCTCCATCGGTCCACAGCCAGACTTTGCCACTGCCGTTGCGAGATAGCCCTGTCCAATAAGAGTAGAAAAACTCAGAGTAGCTCTGAGGCATGGCAAACTCCTGCGAAGGCACACAAGAAGATCTTTAGGTTTAGAGATGTTATACTGTGTAGTTAGAGAGATGCGTAGGGCCAGCCAGCACTTTTAATAGGAAAACAGGACATGAGTCCTGCCCCACGTAGGTGATGGTATACTTGAGGGAAAAAGTGTCCATGCTCAGGTCAGTTTGTTCAAATTGAAGAATTTATCTTGTCTTACTAAGTCTGATATATACTAAAACCAAGAATATATTCTAAATAAATATAAAGAATATATTCTAAAACCAAGAATCACATCAACGAAGATTTATAAATGACCCATTATTTTCAAGCCACAGGGTAAATGCTAAGACTTATATAAAAAAAGACAAGGGGGCGGATTTACAAAGAGAGGTGGGTTGACTGTGAAATGGAAGAATATGGGAAGAAAAGTGTAAAAATGGGGAAAGTAATCTTTATAAATACCTGCAAAGGGACTGACCAGGAAGAAGAGAACAATGAATATACTTTAATGCAAAAAGAGGTAAGAGAAAATTTGGAGGGATGACATATGTCTCAGACAAGGAAGGGGAGAAAGAAATTTTTCATATATATATGTGTATTTATATTTTTATATAGTATTTATATACACACATATATATAATTCCTTCTCTAATATTTATATTGAAAATTTTTTGAAAATTTTTAAAGATTTTATTATTTATTTATTTATTTATTTGAGGTGGGGAAGAGGGACAAGCAGACTCTATACTGAGCAGGGAGCCCAAATTGAGGCTTGATCTCATGACCCTGAGATCTGACCTGAGCTGAAATCAAGAGTGAGACACAACTGACTCTTCACTATACTATGAGTTCTTTAAGGATACATACTTTGTTTTATGTCCTCAACCCTTCAGATAATTAATGGCATAGTTTGGTTCAATAAAAGATCTTTGGAAATAGATATGAAACTATCACTAAGCAATAGTCATCTAGTAGGCATATCAAAGGAATTGCAGTTGAAAATACTTCCAATTTATGGTAGACACCTCAAATTAAAAGTTCTAAAAATAAGTCATATGAAAATGACTTAAATGTATATAAATCTTTGAAGTGCATGAGACAAAAGCACTATATAACTTTTACAATATTTCCTACCATTATATATAATACAATTCAATTATAATAAACCTGTGTCCTTGGTTTGTGCTAGAGGTGGAGGAAATGAAGAGAATAAGAAAAATTAGGTGGGCTTACGGTAGGACACATTGTTTCAGTCAAATAAATTACCTCCTTTTCTGCCTAAATTGAGCTGCTGAGAAAGGACAAAAAATGTTATTTTAGTAGAGAGACATTTCTGAGTTACATTCACCACAGATTTCAGAAAAGTGGGTAGGAATTAAGATGTAACTAGAAGGATGACAAGAATTTGCATAGTGAGCGAAGCATTTATTTCAATTAAATAATCCTTTGTTGATAAATTACTCTGTGCCAAGATTTCTGCTAAAACAATGATAAATAAAAATTGGTCACAATGCTTAAGGGAGGAGATCCAGTGGCGCAATTGGTTAGCGCGCGGTACTTATACAATGCTTAAGGGATTAAATACAAAGGCAATAATAAATATTTTTTAAAAGGGTGGGAAAAATCACATGATTTTACAGTTTGTCTTAGTTGCATATACTTAATACATGTTAATTTATAATTTTACTTTCATATTTGCCTCAACTAGTCTATTTTAGGTATAAATTTCTGGAGGACAAGATATTTATCTGCAGGTTATAGTAATGATTTAATTAAATGTTTTTCAATTAAAAGCTTTGTCTTTTTATAACAGAAGAACAGGAAATGCTATTTTCATCTTTCTAACATTGCCTCAATACCGCCTTTCTTGCCCAAAACAAAAAAGGTAAGAAATTAAGGAATTTTTTATTTGATTCCTGACTGGTGGGGATTTTGAAGAGCTTCCTCTTAATGGGTTTTTGTTTTGTTTTGTTTTATTTTGTTTGTGGAGAGCAGAACAGTTTTTATATACTCAAGGAATCACTCAAAACAATAGGAGTAAGAGATTGCAGTAAGGGCGAAAGTCTGGGGACACTGACTCCTTAATATTCTTGTATAGCTCTTTTAAGGATCTCTTTTTGAGAATAATTCAAGCACTGACCAGGATCTTACCAGCACTTCCTGTGTGTTTATTTTCAGCATGGTCGCATTCTCAGCAATGCAAAAATATTCACAGCCTTGCCAATTCTTGCTCTCTATATAGAATCGGTAGCATTTGTCCCCATGCCACTTCCATTCTTCTGGACAAGGGCTGCATCTGTGCTCTTGGAAAGAAACCAATTTTAATACTATTTTCTATTCAGGTCTGCCGTCTTCCTGTCCTGGAATTATATAGTATTTGATGACTCAAATATTCTTAATATTTAGAGTACTTTCTTTTAGATATTTAATTGCCCAGGAATGGTAATGACAAATGCTTATAAAATACTCTCCATATGCCAGAAACTATAATTAATACTGAGTGTATGGTAAAAATTAAAACAGACACTACCTGCTTTCATGGAATTTGGAATCTAGCAATGAATGATTAGAACTTCCTTGATTCTTGCCCTATATAATTCAACCCACAGATGATATTCAATTTCATAAAGAACTTCTCATATGTCCAAAAACTCATTACAGCTTATATTTAAGAAAGAACTGAAGCTTCCACAATTTTCTTCTTCAAAATCCTCTTATATAATTATAAAAGGATTGCTGTAATTCAACATACACCAATAAGATATGGACCCTTTTCTTATTCTAAACACAAGTAAATAAAATTTTAGAAGAAAAAGACATAAATACTAAGCAAAGTATGATTTAGAATGATAAATCTCCATTGTCAGAAATTAAGGTGGACACCAAAGTCAGCAAAGTAAGTGCAGAAGTCAAGGGTGAGATGGACTACTGAGGAAGAGGTCATAAGTATAAGAACTAGTCCCTGAGAGCCATGGTTTTAACTTTGATGAGGATACTTGAGCCCTTGAGAGTTGTCACTTGTAATCAGCTCCCTGATGGTGAGATGGGAACTCAATCATTCCATAAAAATGTCTTTATTTTAAGAACAATCCGGTGTCAAAATGTTAACATGTTAAAAGTTGAATGATCAACATGCACTTGGATATTATGTTATTGTTTTCATTTTTTCTGTATATTGGAAACCTTCCTTAAGGTAAAAAAGTTTAAAATAAATAAATAATTGAGGAGATGCCTTTGTATGTCAGTTCATATTTCTGGCCCAGACCTTATACCAAACTACTTATTCAGATCTCTACTTAAACATGCCCAAAATAGCACTCCTGCTCCCTAAACTTCCCCACTCATAACCACAGAATTCTTCCCCATTTCATTTGATCACATCTCTCCTAATTGCTTTGCCCCAAAACTCTGGAACCATCCTTGACTCCTTTATTTCTCTCATGTCCCCTTTTATTCCATCATGCATTCATCTCCTCTGATAATATCGTAGTTTGAGGCACCATCATCTCTCTCCTGAGTTACTTACCAAAGCCATCTCTTAGGTGATTTCTCTGTTTTCACTCTTCCTCCTTCCAGTGTATTTTCAACATATTTGCAGTGTGAGCCTTAAAATGCTCATGTCAGATCTATATTTCTTCTGCTCAAGATCCTGTAATGAATCCTTACTTTGCTCAAAATAGAAGCCAAATCCCTGGTAATGTCACCTAATGCAATATATAATCACTACCACATCTATTTGTCTCACCTCCCTCACTCTGCTTCAGGCACACAGACTCCATATTGTTCCCTGAATATGCACCTCCATTCACACTTCAGGGCACTTCCTGTTTTCTCTACCTGGCTTATTCTTTCTTCATATGCTTACATATGCTTACATATGCTTTCTTCATATGCTTACATAACCCCCCTAACTCTTCAAATCTTTGCTGCTATATCCTTATCTTAATTAGGAATTTATGGTATCCTTATGTAAATTAGCAACCCACCATCCTGGAATCCTGATGCCTCTTATTTTATCTACTTCATTTTCCATAGGATTGATTACCTTCTTATATATTATATTTAGTTTGGCCAACCATTCTTGTGTGCCTGAAACCTAGGCTTTCCCAAATTGTAGGACTTTTCATACTAAAACTGGAGAAGATTTGAGCAAACTGGGACAAGTTGATCATCTTATTTTACCTTTTTTGATTATTACCATCACTGTAATAGAATAAGAGGTCTATGAGGGCAGAAATCTGTATATGTTTTGCATCATATGCAACAGTATGTGCTCAGTAAATCTTACCTTGTGTGGCAGAGTAGATGGATGGTTGGATAATGGGAAAGAAATGGAGAGAAGCAGAATAACACTGAGAACTAACATCAAACCAAAGCTTTATGAACATTTTCATGGGAACAGGAATATCATGAATACATTTGCATATAGATTTTATATTAAAACAAAATGTAGTTTATTTGTATACACAGTTTTCTTTTTGTCTTTATGCAGCTAGATGTAAATTCCCAAGACCACTGGTTTCAAAGAAACTTGGATTATCTTTTGATGACATGGCCCCCAACAAACACACAGTGGGTTGTCAGAAACATAAGAAGAGAAAACAAAACTATGTGAAGTGGTAGATATATTAATTATCTTGAACTTGATAATCATTGTATAATGTGTATGTATGTCAAATCATCACGTTGTACATTTTAAATACATTCAATTCCATGTGTCCATCCTCACTAAAGTTAAAAAAGAAAAGAAAAAGAAAAGAAAAAAAAAAACTGTGACCGATGAGATCATTAATCATGTGGGGAAGAATCACTTAGAGAAGTGGTAATGTGCTTGTGGGTGTTATTTCACTGGGTAACCACGCAATCTGGCCTTCTGGTTAGTGTGGGAAGTGGAAGAGGAAGACTTCATCCTAATTTAAAGTCCCCAAAAGAAAAATAAAAAGTGGTGACTTAGAATGTATGTTGTTTCCTATACATGCAAGATGAGTGGAACAGAAGGGAAGGCTAACTTGAAGAGTTAGAAGCTACAAAACCCCCAAAAGATGGGAGGGAAAGGTACAAGAATGAAGTGATGCTTCCTGTCTTGTCCTGACATGATTATCAAAGCATGGTTCATCCCCACTGGCAATGTCATTATTACTGAAATGCCAATTTATGGCACCCAGACAAGGCGCAGTGGATTTAAATAACTGTAATTTGATTCCGCCCTTCAACATTTTTAAACTGATCCCCATATGATTCTTGAAATGTGAGAAATTTTATGAGCTCGTTAAATTCTTAAGGAGAAAAGTGTATAAACATATTATGAAATGTATACTACTGGTAGGTCTTTAGGTGCCGAGGTAAACTGAGAAATAACCCTGTGTTATATATTTGCAGTGTTATTTTGGTTATTGGACATTAATTGCTTTTATTGTTTAAAATGTCTGAGTTTGAAGAATCCCTTTATGTATTACAACACAGACGTATCCAAACTAAACGATCCCAATGACGGGGGATGACCCAGGTGCCCAAATTCTTCATGAAGCTTGCCAGACAATTAACTATATGACATGTGACTCCCAGGCACTCGGATAGGAAGGTCAGCTGTATAAGGACAACTAGCCTGAGGGAGCCAACTTTAGCAGAGGGAGCTTAGCGATCCCTACTCACCTCCACTTTTGTTATAGAGCTCACGACACAGTTTTTCAGCCACACGCTGCAGGATTTCCGCAAGCTTCCTGTTCCTGGTTTGGAGAGACTGCAGCTGTCGGGAGAGATTCCCCAATCTTTCTTCCTTGTGAGAAATGCTGTCTTGCTGGGTATTTGAAAGCTGGTAGAACTGAAAAACTAACCCAAGTTACCAAGTCAGACTGGACAGGCCACATTTTCATTTCTATTTCTACTTTTTCATGTGGGGAAGACAAAACGTCGTATTGTTTAGATCTCATGCTCTGCGATTTCATATTGCCTGTGTTCAAGTTGAACTGTAGCACATGATAAACTGCATTGTCTCGGGCAAATTAATATCTCTGAATCCATCTTTTTGTCTGAAAACGTAGAATCATAGTCCTATGAAGTTTCTAACTTCAGGACTCAATTCCTTAACCATATCTATTGCTCAATAAATAGTTTGTGTATACTCTTAAACCACTGCTCAACCTAAAACCACAAATCCATGTATCTATTGATTATTATATTGATTATTGAGTATTGACAATGTACCACATATAGTTATCTCATTCATTCATAAAATAGTCATATTATCATTTCCATTATCTTATATCTTCCAACCAGGGTCAGTGAGAACAAGCAATTTCCTTAGTATCACTTGGCTAGAAAATTTCAACACTTAGGTTTAAGCTCCAGATTTCTAAATCTAAATAGAGAAATCCTTCATGAATCATGAAAGTTGCTTTATATCCCTAAAAAGAATGGTGGTTGTGAAACAAATTATATCAAAATGAAGTAATAATTGGGAGGTCATGAAAGAAACACTAAGAAATACATTTTTTTTTAATTTTAAAAAGTTACGATAATGAAGGAAAGTTCAAACATTTCTTAGAAAAACCAAATGTTTGACCTGCTCTTCAATGTAACCTTTTACCTTAAGCCACCTTCTTCAACTGGTCAGGAAACATTACTGTAGGGTCTCAATCTCATGAAGCAAATTCACCCACTTTTTTTTTTTTACTTTTTGAGCTTGTCTTCCATGTTTGAAAATAAAAGACTTTTTCATAAGCATTTTTCCTTTTTCAGTTTTCACAAGATTTTGCAAAATGATTCTATAATTTCCTGAAATTTTTGAAAAATACTGTAGAAATTAAGAACCTATTCTGCTCTCCTTATAGGAGGAGGGGAGTAGCTATAAACGAAATCTCCTCTCTGTATTAGCTGCTGAGCCATGCATACTAAGAGCAAAAACCACAGCTTGTACTGTTTAGTAGAATGAAAGAGAGCTAAATCATACATTCATTAAAAATTGTTGATTTTAGAGGCTCAGTCGGTTGAGCATCTGACTCTTGATCTAGGCTCAGGTCATGATCTCAGGGTCATGACCCTGGTATAGCTCTGCCCTCATCCTGGTGCCTGCTTAAGTTTTTCTCTCTCCCACTCCCTCTGCTCCTCCTCATCTAGAGACCTCCCCTGGCCCGCTCAAAAAAAAAAAAAAAAAAAAAATTGCTGATTTTAAATATTGGCATGTAGACAAACAGATAAAACCTGCTTATCTCAAACAGAATGTGAAAGTCTAGCTGTCGAGTGATTGCTGTATTTTAATGCTGCTTTCGCTGCTCATCATCTCAATAAGTGCTTTAGAATAAGTTACATTGAGGGGCGCCTGGGTGGCTCAGTCATTAAGCATCTGCCTTCGGCTCAGGTCATGATCCCAGGGTCTTGGGATGCAGTCCCGCATCAGGCTCCTTGCTCAGTGGAAAGCCTGCTTCTCCCTCTCCCACTCCCCCTGCTTGTGTTCCCTCTCTCCGTGTCTCTCTCTCTGTCAAACAAATAAATAAAATCTTCAACAACAACAAAAAAAAAATAGAATAAGGTGCATTGAATTATCCACAGGCTCCAGAATTAAAGTAAAAAAAAAAAAAAATCCATAACAAGTATTTCTCATCCTAGACAAACCTTAGAACCATGGTCCTCCCCCTAGTCAGAGTGCAGACTTACACACAAGGCCCAGGGCTAACAGGCCGATCAGCAGCACCAAACACAAAGTCAGCAGGGTCAGGGCCACTGGACGCCAAACTGAAGAGGGAGGCCGGTGCCCTGCAGGGAACAGAGAGGAAAAGGCAGGATTTCAGTTTGTCTTTCTCTTGGATCCATTCCACCAGTAAGTCAGAAGAGCTGGTTCTGGAGAAGAGCAACAGTAAGCAGAGGCTAGATAACACTCCCTCTGTCCTTGGAACCACTGTCAGAAGGCTCAGTGCCAAGACTCCCTTCCACAGCAGGGTTCCCTCACGTGCCTGGTCCATTTCCATAACCCTGACACCCTCAGTTCTACTTAGCACCGAGTCAAGTTATGCATTGCCCTTATCTTTATAAGGTTGCGTGCATAACCTTCTTTTTGTAAAAATTCGAGTTATGAAAGACATGTGAATGCCTGAACAGGGAAAAATTTTTCACATCATCAGAGAAGAGATGAAAATAATTTGTTGTTACTTTTGCAAAACACCTTGCCACTGAGTTCCATATGTGCTTCCACTGAAAAGAAAATAGCATATTGGTAATGAGAAATGATCATTTTACTCTTTCCTTTTTGGGATTTCTTTATTGAAAGTCCCTCTTTTAGTGCATTGGATTTCTATCTCTGCAAAAATGGATTATAAAGAGACATGATCATCAGTTTATCAAGGACGGATCTAAGCTAACTCAATTTTGAACAGTTAAATAATAAATGCTACGCCCCCACGAGTTTGCCTGGTGTTAATTACAGAGGCTCTACTGAGTCAATAGTGAACCCATCATCTAGTGAAGTTAGCCGTCATTCTAAATGACCTGTGATATCAGACAAGGAAGACCCTCCCACACCTTAACCTCTGAGGTGCATGTAGCATCTAGCATTGTGATTAAAATGAAACAAAGGGAGAGCCACAACCTCAATAAAACTTCCATCAGTCTCCAAGACCTGTGTTTCACTTCATTAGGACTTGAATTTAAAAGATTAAAGACATACAAATTCATTTCCTCTTTAGCAAAGTCCTCTACATAATGTAGTCTACGTACAGAGATTTGTGTTACACATTATTTCCAAGTGGGGAATGATAAGTGGGAAAGATAGAAATGGAAAATGTGATTACTATCCCTTGGAATTTACAATCTAGTAGGAAAATAAGGAAAAATCATGGAGCAGACATTGAGATTGATATATTTTAAAAAGTGAATCTTATTTTCCCTTAATCATGTCTGTTAAAAATTTTCAGTGGATTGCATTACAGTTAGAATAAAATCCAAATCACTTCTTCTGAAGATTCAGATTTCTCTTTTTAACAAAATTGAAATTTGATTATGTTAGTTCCCAACTTAAAAACTTCCAATAACTTTTTTGCACTTAAAATTCTGCCAGAGTCTTTTTCTTCTGGACCCTACCTACTTCTTGCACCCTTTTCTGAACTACTCTCCCTCCATTCAAGTGTTCTACATACAATGGTCTCTGTTTGTCCTTGAAACAAACAAGCTTGTCCCAGTCCTAGTACCTTTGGAGTTAGGGCTGCCTCTGCTCCCTGTTAATTAACCTTCAGCAAGTTGTTGGTAGGCTTTTCCCTGATACTCAGCTTTCCATTTAAATGTGCATCCTTGAAAGAACTCCATGAGTTCATTTCTAATACATAACACCATTACATAGCTTTCTTAAAAATTAGATTATTAATATTTTCATGGTTTTCATGTGTTTGTTTTCCTCTATATCCTCCTTCTCATGGAAGGTACATTCCATGAAAATAGTAATCTTTTTTTTTTTTTAAGATTTTATTTATTTATTTGAAAGAGAGAGACACAGTGAGAGAGGGAACACAATCAATGGAAGTGGGAGAGGGAGAAGCAGGGAGCCTGATGCAGGTCTAGATCCCAAGACCTTGGGATCATGACCGGAGCCAAAGGCAGACACTTAACAACTAAGCCACCCAGGTGCCCCCATGAAAACAGTAATTTTGTCTGTCTTGTTCACCAGTATATTTCCAGTACTGAAAGTAGTACCTGGCACATAAGGGCTGAATACGTATTTGAATGAGTAAATGAATAAAGAATAAAACTGTAAAAACTTAATATGACTTTAACTATGTAATTTTTATAGAGGCACAGAGGATTAACTATAGTCACACTTCACTGATTTTTTTTAAAACTCTATTGACTTTTCAGCAGTATTTCTGACAGCAGAAGTTAGATTCAGCTAAATTCATTTTCTAGCCATGCTGGTCTCTATTCAGACTTGTGTGAGATTCTGAAACATGAACAGATATTGGAGAGATTTGTTTTCTCGCTTGCCTAAGTAGTTTGGTCTAAATTTTCCTGGAAATTGTTGGCTTCAGAACATAAAAGAACAAGATCAGAGGGCAGAATACAGCTTGAGCTAAACATCCTCTCCAAACCCTAAGTCTCTTGAAAGTTCTGTGTATCCCAAGAAACTTAAGTAGGTAGATGATTCTAGATTTCAGAAATACCAGTGCATATGTGGACCCACCACTGTGATGGCTTTATCTTTCTCCATACATCTTATTACCATCAAGTATATGATATACCTTACTCATTTCTTTTGGTTTATAGCTGTAGAAAGTAAGCTCCTTTTGGAGAGGGTTATTATAGTCTGTTTATTCACTAGAAGAACATCAATTTTAGCACCTAGAACATCAGATGGAAGAAGCTCAATTAACATAGAATGAATGAGTGTGTCATTTATATATAAATGTCTGTTATATGCCTGTCTATCCCTGCTCAAACCTATTAATATTAGTACACATCTGAAAGGCATAAACTATTTTTAAAAGTATTTTATTTATTTATTTATTTATTTGAGAGAGGGAGAGAGAGCAACCATGAGCAGGAAGGGCAGAAGGAGAGGGAAAGAGAGAATCTCAAGCAGACTCTGTGCTGAGCACAGCCGGACACGGGGCTCGATCTCAAGACCCTGAGAGCATGACCTGAATCGACACCAAGAATCTGTCACTTAACCAACTAAGCCAACCAGGCACCCCAGGCATAAACTAATTTTTAAATGTTGTTCCTTCTTATAGTTGCTATTTCCCTGGCCAAAATTATCTTACTATTTAATAAGAGGGTAAAGGAAAAGAACAACTGTGGAAATCAACCAAATGATCCCTTAAGAAACCCATCTTTCCTTGTATAATACTCAGGCACCAGAAGTGCTAATCTTCTGTCCAAAGGATCAAAAAGAATAATCTTAAATCCTTACTGTAGAATGAGGGCATGGACTTAAGGAATTAGAATATTATTTAATAATAGTTATATCTGTGTAAACAGATCATCCTTCCTAAGATTGTCTCTAAGACAGAAGATCAAAGAAGTATATGATATCTTCTGCTAAGGAACAAAGTTTTAAAAATTCTCTTCCAATGAGTCATCTCTCCCTGGTCATTTGGAAATTTTTCTACTCTTGATTCTTCTCTCTCTCTTTCTTTCTCTCCCTTCCTCCTCCTTCCTTTTCTCCCTCCTTGCCTCCCTTTCTCAATATTCACAATCTCTTTGTTTTATCTCAGGACTGAGAAAAACACAACCCCAGGGAGTTTCTAGAGCGCATATGGCAATTTCCTAGAAACCTGGCTTCCATGATGGAAAGACCATGGAGCTGAAAGTTTCATTTTTATTTTTAAGATTTTATTTATTTATTTGACAGAGAGAGAGGGAACACAGGCAAGGGCAGAGGGAGAGGGAGAAGCAGGCTTCCCACTGAGGAGGGAGTCCCATGCCGGGCTCCATCCAGGACCTTGAGATCATGATCTGAGCCGAAAGTAGACGCTTAATGACTGAGCCACACAGGTACACCTTCATTTTTTTTTAAACTATGGAGAACAAATTGAGGATTGTTGGAGGGAAGTAGAGTGGAGGGATGGGTTAAATGGGTGATGGGGATTAAGGAGGGCTCTTGTGATGAGCACTGGGTGGTATATGGAAGTGATGAATCACTAAATTCTATACCCAAAACAAAAGGGAAAAAAAGTGAAACTTTTTTAATGCCATTTTTCCCTCTATTTTTCTAACTTTAGGTTTAATATCCCTAAATTTTATCCCAAGTGCCTTGATCAGAATGAAGTCTTTCTCTAGGGACCACACCCACCCTAAAATAAGAAAAATAAGCTGCCTGGGAGGTGCTTCAGTTTGGTTTGGCTTTATTGTGATTTATTTTTTGGAAGAGAACCCATATTCTGTCTCCTGAGGCATGTTTAGAAAAAGGTGTGGACAGGGCAAGGAATGATATAAACATCCTTAGGAATAATAAGATATATATAGAGAAAAACAACCCTTTCCTGTATCCTTTTACTATAACTATACTATAAAAGGCTACAGTGCTAAGGTCAAGTTTTGAACACAAATTCCTTTGTAGGTATAAGAAACTTTGGTAGGTGAAGAGCTTTCATACTTGACCAGTTATTCTTCCACAGGCATCAGAAAGGGGACATTTTATATACCTCCATTCCCAGAGCTTAGGAGAAATGAAACATATATTGCCAGATGTAATCTATTAGTATGACTCTGAAATAGAAAGCATAATAAAAGCTGGGAAAGACACAGAAGCTTTATTTTTTTTAAATATTTTATTTATTTATTTGAGAGTGAGCGAGAGAGAGCCTACAAACAGCGGGGAGGGGCAGAGGGAGAGAGAGATGCAGACTCCCTGCTGATCAGAGAGCCTGCTGGGGGACTCCATCCTAGAACCCCAGGATCATGACCTGAGACATCCAGGTGCCCCAGGAAAAACAAAGAGACTAAATAATTTGTGCAAAGCAACATTGCAAACCAGGGGTGGAACCAGGATTAAATTGCCGTGCTTAACCCCACACGTTGTATATTTCCTCTTGACCAGAACTCACAAACAAATGGGGAATACACTGGTGACAAAGTGCATAATATTTCAGAAATTACTTTTAATATATTTTAATCATGAGATATTGCTCATTGGATATCTGACTTTTGGATATACTTTTAAAATTGTAAGTGTTGTCAGGGCACCTGGGTGGCTCAGTGGGTTAAAGTCTCTGCCTTCAGTTCAGGTCATGATCCCAGGGTCCTGGGATCGAGCCCCGCATTGGGCTCTC